GCACACAGTTCTGTTTTGGGTCATCATCATCATCAGAAACTCAGCTTCCCTCAAGTCCTCCGAAGTTAAGGGCTGTTAAAAGGTTCTCACATCTCAGCCAAAGAACTTTTGAATAAGTGTTGAGTTTTTGTACGTTTAATAGCACATATAAATGATTATTAAATGTCCTTGTCCCATAAACAAATTCAGCTATAGTTTTATGTACTTTTAAAATATTTGAAATACATTAAAATTCAAGTAATTTCAAGGATTTAAAGCACTTGCTAACACAAAATCAGTTTTGCATCCTTATTTGAATTTTGGGATTCAAATCGGTCCTTGTCAGATGATATTTTCCATTTTTAACAAGGTTGTTGGTCTTTCTGGCTGGAATAACCCTGGCGCATACAGGTCCGCAGACATTTTAAACGTTATGCACAGAGAACATCGCAGAGGTTAAAAAAAATAAAATCAATGAAGAAACGATTACCCTTAAGGACATATGTCAGACTTTGACACCAAGATCAGTGCAGCTCGCCGTCAGCGTGCTGAGGACCTGTGAGAGCAGCTCCGTCTGCGGGTCACAGCCCAGCAGCAGAACCAGAACGCAGCAAGTAAAATGTTTCTACTTTATTATAACATTAATATGTTGCTGGGCACGCTGGGCACCTTGTTAAGACTAAATATTAGCAAAAAAAGAATGAAAATTAAATTGTGATTATTTATTTATTATTTGAGAAATGAAAATGATGAGAGGAAACCATCATGACCCATCCACAAATGAAAACCTGGTGCAGCGCCTGTGTTGTAATGTTTTTGGACGACTACTTTTTACTTTACCTGATTATAAATATGTTGAAGCAGTGCTATGCTTACTCAGCTGATAGTTTGGGCAGTAACTAAATGTCTGAGCTCCGTTTGCCTCCCTTCAGGTCGTAGGGGTCTACATTGTTGATTGTAGATAGTTTCTGAAAATACCGATCTCTAGCCTCCTTCACAAGTTTATTCCTGTAAGGGATGCTTTTGTCCTTGTTCTTTTCATCCCTCCTTTTGACTCTTGTGCTGCTTCAACTTCAGTTGCAGCTAGGGATGGGTACCTTTGACATTTGAATCGATTCGGTACTAATTCCCGGTACCTACGAATCGATACCGGTACTTAACGGTACCAATTTTCAATACTTTTGAGTGTTTATTATTTTAATTCTCTTTTATAATTAAATATATATTTTTCTCAATATATAACAATATTTGATACATATCACGATAAATAACATTCAACTATTTGTATTTTAACATCGTCCTTGTAGTTTTATAAGCTGATAATTAAACTGAAGCAAACATCTTTACTGTGAACTAAATTTACTGTGTATCTTCATTCCTTTTGCCATCCTTTTTCATTTGATTTTTCCTACTGGGAAGTTAGAATTTCCAAGGAGAAAGCGAACGCACCATTTGATGATAACAATGGTGGCAATGGAAGCTAACATATCAAGCTAACGTTATCTTAAACAGTTTATTTAACTGCTGGAGGAGATTAAAACGATGATGCCTCACACTTAGATCGTTGTCGCTGGTTTTACCTTCACCCAATCACCCGTCGCATTTAGTAAAGTGAAGCCAAACTTTAGAGCGCGTTCGTGTTCTAGTCGGAAATTTGGAGTTCCGAGGAGAAAGAGAACGCACCATTAGCGAAACGGAAGCTAACATATCAAGCTAACGTTATCTTAAACATTTTATTTACCTGCCGGAGCAGATTAAGATGAGGATGTCTCACTTAGATCGTTGTCGCTGGTTTCATCATCACCCAGTTACCCATCACATTTAGTGAAGTGGACCCAAGCTTTAGCGTGCGTTCTTTCTACCATGCTGCTCTGTTTACAACTGGCTCGCAGCGAGCGACAACATAATGCTCTTGCGCATGCACAGCTGTCTTGGCAAGTTGTCGTTATGAAGGACGGGTACCGAAACGAGGCACCGTTTGAAATGACGTGAATCGGTGCTCGGTCGGTACTATGGAATTCGGTCGGTACCTTAAAAAGTCCCGAATTCGGTACCCATCCCTAGTTGCAGCTTCCTCTAGCAACGTAAGTCATACACCTAAAATGGCACTAAGAGGGTGTGGCTGACCAAGACCGATAGATGAAGCTCAGGAAGTCGAGCGGGTTGTAGGTTCGATCCCGGCTCCAGACAAGAGAATTCTGCTTGGGCGAGACACTTAACCTTTCCTGCCTGCTGGTATCGTCAAAAGATCTGGTGGCACCTGCGCTCTGCAGCCTCGCCTCTGTCAGTGAACCCCAGGGCAGCTGTGGCTACGATGTAGCCCATCACTGTCAGTGTGTGAATGTGTGTGTGAATGGATGAATGATACACTGTAGTGTGAAGTGCTTTGGAGTCCTCTGACTCTGAAAGGTACTGTACAAGAGCAGGTCATTTGTTGTTTATCAATAAAGAAAATAAACAATATTTGGTTTGATGTTTTTCTACCAATAACATTTAACAATTAGATAAACGCCTGGAAAATTGTTAATTTGTTTAGAAAAACGCAGAAAACTCTGAAAAAGGGAAGTTAAGTTGCGTTTGAAGAATGAATCTCCCAGTGACACTTCTTTCAGATTAAACTCTTCCTCTGATGGCGCCTCTGATATATTTTCTCTTTAGCGACACCTACTGTTCAAGAGGAAAACTGCAGCAATGTTGACGACAAAAACAGCTACAAACAGTTTGATTGTGTGGATCAACAAATACTCCAGATGAAAGCAGCATGCATGAAAAACTCAAAGTGACCGATTATAATCAAAGAATTAAAACATGTTTTTTCAGTGATCGTCACCCTAAAAAAAAATATGAATCATCATCATCATGTCGAAATAACACGCTACACAAAAGCAGTCATGAAAACACCATAATTCACTCTGTGGTGCTGGTTCCCATAACAACCACACAGGTCGTTGCTACAGTGATAAAATGCCCAATAACTCCCCTCACTTGGACACATACGTTGTGCATCCCTCAAAAGGACCAAACTTCACCGTTAGTGGAAAACGTCAAGGAAAGAGTGCAGGAAAACTAAATCACAGTGCATGCCCTCGTTTCCCATGATGCCACGATAAAACAATGTCTGCTAGCCTGTTTTAACAGACAGGACATGCTAACACGGACATTCTCCTTGGCCTCCGCTTCAGCCCAAAGTGTTGTTCCACTAAATCACACGTCACTGTAAGGGCTCAGAGAGGATGTAAATCTGATGAAAATACATGACTGCTGGGCTCATCCTAGCAGCACTTAAAGTACAGACCCATCTATTAAAACAACATTAAAATCGGAGTTGAGTTACGGTCCGTGCACGCGCGTGTGTGTATGTGTGTGTTGTGCTCCAGTGTCTGCATTTGTAATCAATCATGTGAAGAGTTGGTCAGTGGTACATGGTTATTGCATTAACATCATCTCTATGGCTTTAAAGTGCAGTAAGAAGGAGAGAGAAGATGAAAGAAGAGAGGAGAGCTAATGATGTGTTGGATGAAGATTGTGTCAGAGGGACCAGTCGTCCTCCTCGGCCCGCATCACTGGAGATATGCAACATTTAGGAATTCTGTGTGGAAATCCTACCTGATTGGATAGTTTACGCTGTTAAAACACAACTTTTATGAGATATGTTTTTAAGAAATACATTTACCGTATTTTCCGGAGTATAAGTCGCTCTAGAGTATAAGTCGTACCAGCCATAAAATGTATAATGAAGAAGAAAAAAACAAATATAAGTCGCATTTTGGGGGGAAATGTTATTTTTCTTACAAAATCTGAGATCAAGCGTTTCACATTGCAAGACAAGTATCGGTAACAATAACAGAATAACCCGCGGGCGCAGCAGCGCGCCACGGTCTCCAGCAGAGGATGGCGGTGTTTCAAACCCTCCCACCAGGCGGGGAGAGCTCATTCCTGGGTCGCAGCCGGCCCGCAGAACCCCGCCACAAGCTCCAGCAGGTGATGGCGGGGTGGAGGAGCTGAAACCTGGGCCGGATCCAGTGCGCAACGGTGCTCCAGCAGGTGATGGCTGTGTGTTTTTTATTCCCAGGGGGGCGGGGGAGCTCATTCCTGGACCGGAGACGGCCTGCAGCAGCGCGGTACAGCCTACATAATTTGGTATATAAGTCGCTCTGGAGTAAAAGTGGCAGGACCGGTCAGACAATGAAAAAAAAGAACGACTTAATAGTCCGGAAAATACGGTATATATTTAGATTTAGCTAAAAGCAGAAGATTTAAGTAAAAAATCTAATTAAATTACAAGATTAGGACAGTTTTAACAGCAAATGAATAGGTATAATGTTTCTCAATGATTAATGTTCATTTTAGTTCATTTGTTAGTTATATACATTTAAAAAATCCCAATAAGTGAAACAATAGTGATGAATACATACAACACACACAACAAAGTGAAGTAAATGGGGATATTAGTAAAACTCAGGATTTATTCTTCACTTCCTGCTTTCTACACTTTTTAAAAATAAAGAAACAGAATTAAATTATCTAAAAAAAACATCTGAATAAAGCTGAAAATACTTAAGATCTTTTCCAACCACAGGACTGTTTGTTCTAAAGCTGAGGTAATATTTGGACTTGTCTGACTTTCACTGTGAAAAACCAGAGCACGGTAGCACTTATGTGGTCGATACCTTTTAAATTTTACATCTATACGTTACAAAAGGCTCTGTCTGAAGAAGCCACAGAGATCATTATAAAACGTGGCATTATACTTGCTGGCTGCAGATTCCTAATGGCTACAATAATAATTACATAGCAACCAAACTTGCTGAAGTAAAAATAAGGAAGTAGAAACATCTGAATTTTGTGATTTATGGTCATGTACCCTTTAGGAGAATTTAGATGTATGCCTGAAAGGATAGAAGCTATAGGAGGAAGAGGATAAATGTGGTTGTAAAATCGTATTATTGCAGCTTTTATTGTTGTGTAGAGCAGCTGAAATTCTCTGGATCATAAAGGAAACCACTAAAGTCTGCTCTTACTTCATCTCAAGGACCTCCTCCAGGTGCTTCCGCCTCTCGGCTCGCAGGGCAGTCAGGTGACCTTCCTTCTCAGCCAGTGAGAGTTGAGTTGATGACAATTTGGCCTTCATCACCTCCAGTTCCTGTTTCACCTTCTCCATGGCAACCAGGAGGTCTTCCACCTGAGCCACACAAATAAAGCTTACACATTTAAAATCTGCTGGACTTTAGTCTGTGTGTGTGTGTGTGTGTGTGTGTGTGTGTGGGGGGGGGGGGGGGGGGGGGCATGCTCCACTGCAGAACTTCAGCCGAGTTTCAACCGAGCCACTTTCTTTCTCCAAGGGCCTCATTTATCAACACGTTCGAACAAGCGTTCCTATATTCCTTCCTACAAATGAAATTTAGGATGTGTGTACTCCTGATTTATGAAACGTGCGGCGGCCTCTCGTATGCACAATCCTCCGCAATCGTCTGATGCACAATCCCACCTGTGTGTACCGAGGTACTCATGTCCGTTCACCATCATTTACACACAGAAACGCCCTCAATTAAGCATATATGGTCACGCTATGTCCTCAGCACATGAGGGAATTCTCTGTTGTGTTTTTTGCAGAAAAAATAAAAACAAATTTATTGACAGCGAGATCGAAACGCTGGCTGCCGAAGCGCAAAACAACCAAACAAGTTGCAGAGGTTATAAAAGCGTCCGGGGCAGAGGAGAGGTTCCCCTCATAAATAAATAAAACTGGATTTGATGAATGGTAGAGTAACAAGTTCTCATTTACATTTAAGTAGTTGTTCTGTTTGGAGTTAGTTTCATTTGGAAATGTTGTCAGAGTGCAGCCTCTGCCTCTTCTGAGCCGTCATTCAGTCCGGTTGTGTGTATGACCGGGAAGCAGGAGGTGGCTCTGGGGGGGGGGGGGGGGGGGGGGGTTCTCGTAGTTGTAAAATAAAACATGAACTGGAATCAGATTCGCAAGGTTTGTCTGTCGTGCCACAAAGGGTCCCAAATCCCAGCATAGCGGAAGGATTTCGTCCTCACGGAGAACGCGTTCCCTCCAGCGTGCACGCTGGGTTAAATCTTCAAATAACACAAATTAGTCCTGATGTAATGTCAGATTCCCATCGGTCACATGTGTCTTTTATTGGTTTTAGCACCAATAATGTGCAAAAGCTGTTTTTCCACCAACTTAAATGCACACTGGGTAAATATAATTTGTGGATGAGGAACGCGTGGTTGACAATTCCACTACCTCCGCTCCGCTGCGGTCCGCCCCCGCCTTCCGCAGCCGCTCGCTTCCAAACTCAATTTTTACTGGTACCCGCTCTACAACGGCTCCACTCCGGTGCGGAGACCTGAGGTGGGCAAACAAGCATGCGCGGGATTTTCAAGATCTTGCGATACAGTCTGAGCAATAAACGCGGAAGTTAGATCCAAACACCCGTTGTGTGGGAGAAGCATCGAAATGAGCTGTTTAATCTGCCCATCATTTGTGTTGAGATCAGCAGTGTTTGGATCAACAAAGTGTGACTACTTTGATAGTGGAAACTGTATTTATGGCTTACTTTTGTGCATTTAAAGTTCAGCCGCCATTGATAGTTGTTAAAAGTTGTTAAACCTGTGCATATGAAACAAAAAACGCCTTTTGTTTATCGATTTATTGTGAAAAACGGAAGTTGTGCTCGCTCCTTTTCCTGTTGGGCGTTTGTGATTTCTGTCCATTTACTGCGGAGGTGCTCCGGCGTCCGGCAAAAATAGGATCGATTCTATTTTTGCCGGATGCCGGAACAGAGGGCGGCGCACGGCGCCGCACTGCCGGAGCACGGCCGCAGTAGTGGAATAGCTCTGATTGACTACAACGGGACCGATTTTGCTCAGGCGTTCGTGTCGGAGCGGAGCGGAGGTAGTGGAATTTGGGGGTGAGACCTTCAGTACTGCTGTTCCCTCTTTCTACCACTAGAGGCTGTTCCTACCATGGCCAGAGCGGTTCTGATATTTAGGAACATGTTCACGCACAAGTACAAATTGGTAAACACCACGCAATGCGTAAATTCGTGCCTACGCACGAAACACGCACAGATCTGTGTGTAAGTACAGTGGATAAATGAGGCCCCTGGTCTCCTCTCTTCTTTCATTTTTCCTCCCTCACCTTTCTGATACACATTTTATCTTCTTCCCTCTCACACTCTGGCTGTAGATCACTCTGTCAGTTTAATGTGTGTGAGGTCATTGTGTGTTTCTCATGGCGAGACAACAATTTGGCCATCGCTTGAAGAAAAGAAGGTGAGAAAGAAAGAAAAAGGATCCGGAAACCAAATATACAGAAGAATTCCAAATACAATAAACTGAAAAGAAAGACTTGAAAGTGTGACCCAAGAGTTCTTGTTTCTGACTGAGTAAAAGTGGAGGGTGGGGGCTGAGACATAGACATGAAACAAAACCAAATGGAAAATGAAAATCCAATAACAGGTTTGTTTAGGCAAAAGTTTTTTACTTTGGCTTTTAAAATCACTTAAATGGTTTTTGCCTTGCAGCAACAGCAAAACCAACTTTTTTTGCCTTTGAAGTCTTTCTGCTGGACTAATTTAGAAACGCAAGTTCATAATTCACTGCCTGGCCAAAAAAAGTCACCACATGGATTTAACTAAGCAAACAGGTAGGAGCCTCCTATTGGAGAATTACTGCATGGGTTATCATCTTTTAGCTGCAACAAGTTATTTAACCCCAAATGGTGCAACGAGTTGCGTCTGTTTTTTTAAACAAGCATGTGGAAAGATGCATCTGGTGGCCGTGGAAATAATGTTAGTCCATTTAAAGGGACTTTACGGAGTTTTGAATTTTTATGCTCGCGATTGCCCCCTCAGGCCACAAATGTAACGGCTGCTTCAACAGTAGGCTCGTGCACGAGGCGCGCATACTGTACGTGCACAGCTGAGACAGTCAGCTCCGTGTGTGTGTGTGGCCCGGAGGACAGAGGACAGGAGAACGCGCAGCTAAATAATTAAATAATTTGGTTCTGTACTTTTCACTTCAGCACCATATGTCGATGTTCAGCACAGCCGACAAAGGTTTAAGATGGGTCAGTCCGTCAGCTTCACAGATCATTCCCTTCCCTTGCTTGAAAAATTGTTCCAAAATGAAAGTTGAACCCACATCTTCTTTATCTGTGAATTCAATGCCATTCGGCGAGTCTCAAATAAAATTTTGAGCATCTTACTGTAAAAAAAAATACCATTAATGTAAAAAATAAACTACATAAATTACGTTCACATCAAGAATCAAACCCGGATCTCCTTAACGAGAGTCCGGCGTCTAACTAGATGAGCTAGAGCACCAGTGATGTCTTTTGAATCTGTAACTTTTATATCCTTGATGACAGCTGAAACAACGTTCAAAGAACGGTTCGGAGCGAAAATGGCTATTTTGTTGCTAATTTGCAGGAAATATCTAGAAGAAAGTAGCTAAGGGTCCTCAGAAATGTAGCTAGGTTCATCACTAGGCGTTAGGAACAGCGACAAAGTCGCTGAGTTGGCACTACCACACTCTCTGCTGCTAAAGCTACGGATAGCAAATGCTACGGGCGATGCCTGAGCGTGAACGCGCATGAAGCAGCCTGCTTGACCCGAGCATCTCTCTTTTTCTGTGATTTTACAGAAAAACAGGCAATCACAGTAAAAATGCCAGGGCTCATTCTACAGGACCAGGACATTGCAGGAGAATGTATGAAGAAGACATTTATTATTTCTATACATGTTTTGGCTGTCAAACTTCCATAATGCCCCTTTAAGAATGGTCAGATCATTGGCATCAAGCAGAGGAAACATCTAAGGAGGTTGCAGAAACGACCAAAACTGGGGTAAGAACTGTCCAACGCATTATTAAAACTGGTCTGATGAGTCCAGAAGGACACTGTTCCAGAGTGATGGTGCATCAGGGTAAGAAGAGAGGCACCCATCATGCGTGTGGGGGCAGTGCTATGATCTGGGGTTGCTGCAGTTGGTCAGGTTTAGGTTCAGCAACAGGATGTGCTCCAAGGATGAGGTCAGCTGACTACCTGAATATACTGTATGACCAGGATATTCCATCTTCCCTGATGGCACGGGTATATTCCAAGATGACAATGCCAAGATTTCTTGGGCTCAAATAGTGAACGAGTGGTTCAGGGAGCATGGGACATCATTTTCACACATGGATTGGCCACCACAGAGTCCAGACCTTAACCCAGAGAAGGCTTTGTGTAGTGGTCAAACTCTACCATCATCAATGCAAGATCTTGGTGATTTGTTAAAGCAACTGTAGGAGCCAATATTGTTTCGGTTTAGATTATATTATGATCTAAGTTTATTTTGATAATGTTTTATGTACATTTCAGTTTATTGCACTATGGTTTGTATTTCCTTTGACCACTGGTGGCACTGCGGAGCCTATAAAGGTGTTGAGGTGGCAGTGCATTGGCGTTTTCTGGGTGACGGGAGGTCACACGGTTTTACCGCTTCGTTTGGTTTCATATGCCACATCTAATTTGCTGTTATAATTTTCATCATTTACATAAACCTGGACAAGAAATAGCCATTCTGGACCCAGCTTGTGATCGTCAACATATTCAATAAATGGGACAATAAACCCAAACCCGCTTTCTGCCTGGACAATATTGTTGAAGCGAGTCATTGCCTCCACCCGCACCCAAGGGTGACTAAAAGAGGGACTTGATAGTCACTACAGCAACACTAGATGGAAATAAATCTGGTGACATAGCAGAAGCTAATCGAAACAAAGTCACAGCAAATGGGTGCCGTAATCAAAGCTAAAGGCAGTCCAACAGAATACTGGAGTGTCTGACCTTTTTTTGATGGTGTGTTTTAATTGGCCAGGCTGTGTATGTTAATCTGACTCTAAACTCAAGAACTCAGGAAGAAACATGAAGAGATATTGAAAATCTAACAGCTTAGGTGTGTGTTTGATGTTAGAGAAAAATATCCAGTTCTTCGTGAGAGAGAATTAAATCCACAGAATTTTTTGAGTAAAGACAAAAAGCATCATCTCCAGGAATTACTCTATAAAAAAGTGCAATTCTCCTTTAAAGAATGGGCCAGAATTAAACTTAACACTTGATTACACTTAAGAAACAAAGAGAATCACGAAAGAAGTTTTCTGCGTAGAAACCATTTCCTTCACATTACTTTAATTTTACTTCATTTAGAAATCCATTTCTTAATGATGGGATACTGTTTATTATTAAAATAGAGATACTTTGGAGATGACGTCACCAAACGTGCATTCTACATTATGTTGACTAAAGGTGTTCTTTACTTAATTTAACCAACACACACTATCTCAGCTTTATAAGAGTACATCTCAAATGTCCTAACTTGAGTAAACCTTTCTTGTTCCTGGTATTAGATGGAAATTAATCTACTTTGTTTATGCTTCTAATGAACTCAGAAGAGAGAAAATCACTTAGTGAGGCAAGTGTAGAAGAATCTGTTCAGCTGCAAATCTCACACATAATCTTAAAAAACACTCATCTGGGATTGTTCATTTAAATATTTCAGGCTTCCACTAACTTCCATAATAATCTCCTCTGTGTTCAGACTGAGGAGGTTGCAGCTAATCTGCTGTTTTACAACTGCTGTCACAAACAGACTTAAATGATGAGTCTGATGCAACACGCCAGAGGGATGTGAAATAAAAACAGAGCCATGGGAGCAAGGATGTTTTCTTAATGGCATCACAACTCTACTTTTTAAACTAATTATTCTAATTAAGGTTTGACTTTTCACTCGGCTGTTCATTTAAATAAAAACAAGAGGTAGACCACATATAAAGAAAAGGTACCAGAGAACAAACAGGCAGCCTGGTGACGAAAATAATGAAGGAGGTGGGGGTGATACATGATGGTTCTTCGTTACCTTCGACCACCTAAATCCGCTTGTGGTGAACTCATGAATTGGAATGTGAGAAAGCTGCATACAAAACGACAGAGAAAAAGAGAGAAGTGAGAAGAGAGGAGTGGTTCTGGTGTGAGGAAGGAGGTGGATTAAAGGATGGGGAAAGCAAGAAAGAGGAAATGAAAAGGTGTGCAGAAAATAGGAAAAGGATGGGAGCAGGAGAGGACAGAGACGAATCAGAACGTAAGTCGACTGTGGAAAAGAAAGAACAGGTGAAACTAGAAAAAAGGGGATATGGTGCAAAAGTCCATTTATTTCATTAGTTCATTTCAGACTGAGAGACCATCTAAAGCGGGGGTGCCCAATCCTAGTCCTGGAGGGCCAGTACCTATGCTTTAGTTTTAACTCTGCTTCAACACACCTGATTTCAGACAGCATGATTAGCAGGCTTCTGCAGCACCTGATGAGCTGCTGCACAGGTGATTGAACCACTCAATCAAGTCTGCTGGAGCAGAGAAACCACTAAAACGTGCTAGATACGGGCCCTCCAGGACCAGGACTGGGCAGCCCTGATCTGAAGGCTCAGGAACCTTTTGCAGGTGTTCTGGATTCAGTAGCTGATTAGACACCGAGCGTGACACTTTGAACCTAGAATATCTCATCTGAGATTTTTGATTTAGGGTTTTCATAAGCTGTAAACCATGGTTATCACAATTATAACAAATAAAGGCTCGAAATATCACCTGTTATGTTGAATTCCTGACAAAAATGAACTTTTGCATGATTTTCTAACTTTTTGAGTTTCACTTGTAAAAGAATAAAGGATCAGAAATCACTGAGAAAAGTCCCAGAAACCCCTGCTCTGAGCTGCAGAAGTGGACAGATCAGGGCTTTTACTCCCAGTGTTGACTTTTCTAGTAATCTGGGTTCATTTACAAAGCAGACGCTTGTCCCACAAACAGAACAGCTTAATATTCATACGCATTAAAGACTACTGGATTAACTCAATGACTGACTGGGATTTAGGTCCATATTTTAAAAGATTTAAGTTATGAATCACCTTGCTCAGGTGTGTCCATATAATCGTCTGATTGATCAGTTTACTTCTACTAAGTAGTGCCAAACACAAGCTGTGTGAATGCCACAACACAGAAGAGAGGGACGAAGGGCACATGTGAGAGGAGAGGAAACGCAGATGGACGCATGCGAGGTGGAAGAAGCTCGAGCGGGGAAAGAGAAGAACAACTTTAGTCTACTGAGCGTTTGTGTTTAGGAACGATTTCAAATTTATTTTGAGTCGTTAAAAAAGGACGAAATACGGAAGAAAGTGCAGCGAGTTCAGGAATTAAAATCTGGTTAATGAAAGACAGAAATCTGGAGAGGAGAATGTCTGTCTCTGGTTTGAGCCAGATGGAGTGTGTCACACACACGCACACACACACACACACACACACACACACACACACACACTAGTGACTCATGTCTAGCAGTAAAGGTTTAGTTTGTTTTCCTGCGGTTCTGGTCAAATGTTTTTGACAAACTGTGTTCACGGGACGGTCCCACACACACACACACACACACACACATAAGGTCCAACATAACATCTGCGTGTGCACCAACATAAAAGCTGTGTGCGCGTGTGTGTCCCGACTTTGGCACCATCATGTGTGTGTGCCTTTGAACGAGTCGGTCTCATTACGTGAGGAAATTGTCTCCCGCTCTGTCATCGTTGTATGAATTATGATGTGAAAGGTTAATTGCAGTGAGGCCGTTGTGAAGAAATGAATACAAACGCATTATTTACAGTTTAGTTGTGGTCACAAAAATGGTTTCCAGGTCAGAAATCAAAGCAGAGGTCTGATGAATGTGACGTTACTCAGCGTCGGGAGGAAGTTTAAACAGAAGATTAAAGTTTTTTCAGTCGTATTTATGTGTGTTTAACAAAAAGGCATGTATGCGGTCACTGTCCTATCCGCTAGTGCGTGTGTGTGCGCGTGTGTGTGCTGCAAGGCTGAGCTGAAAGTGTTGTTGATGTTGGGAGAGGAGTGTTTGGCTCCCACCTTGACTCTTTCACCACAGACTGACATTTCTGCTCCATCCTCTTTCACCGGAGCGTTCTGAGACAGGGACACTCTCCAGCACCCCGTCCTGGCCTTAGCGACCTCTGGGCTCACTAATTAAAGCTGAAACTTACAGCATTTTGAAATGTTTCGACTTTTCCCCTGTCCAAATAAATGCAACGACGTGGCAAAGTTACAGTAAACACAATTAAAGCTTCATCGAAGGAATGTAAAATGGTCTAAATGAGGACCTGAAATAAAGTTACTGAAGCTTTCTGCTCAGAAAGAACCTCCATAAAGTTAAAGTTTGAACTTTCACTGGTTTTACCAAATAATTTGCAGCAGAGCTGATTTTAGTGTTTTTCTTTCTCATCACCGCTCCGATCTGCCCCACAGCTAAGGAAACCAAAGCTTCTGACCCTAGATTAGCTACATAAGGGAGGATTTGCTGTATAAAAACAGGAAGTAACTTATTCCACAAAAACATTGATCTGATAGGGTTTAATTTATGATTCAATAAAAAAAAAAAAGACAACGAAAACCCCGGAGACGTCAACGACCATCCCAGTTTCCTTCTGGTTGCATCATTACACCAAAAAGGCAACCCCACCTGTCATGTGCTTCATTCCAAACACCATTTCCTCGTGTAACTGGTGCCTTAGAACTCTGATTAGGAAATAAACAGCGAGTTTGATTCGACTTTAACCATCCCAGTTCATCGTTTCTACAGTTCTTTTTCTTTACACGTGTTTGTCTGAAACTGCTCATTAACACCCTTCGTGTAGGAGGGTGCCAGTGAAATGCCTCAGAAGTAAACCATCTGTTGTCCTGCCCGTCTCCATGCGTCTGTTCAGAAGCCATCCGGTAAGTAAAGGCCTGAGCAGACAGTAATAACAATGGAGTCCAGCCGTTCTGCCAACAGCTACAGCAGGACGCGTTTTCTCTGCAGTTTTAAGCCCACGCTGTTTGGTTTTTTCCCCCACTTGTCAGAACCCGTCCAGGCAACGAGGAACATTCCCCATCTCTGTGGCCTCGTTAAGTCGCTGCCACTCCAGGGGGAGAAACACACAAACACACTCCCAGTGGTCTGAGGTTGCATCCGCCAAACCCTTCTTTTCTGAGCCTCCCTCGCCGCCCGCTATGAGCTCTCCTACTGTCTCGATTTAGATGAGATGCATCACGGAGTCGGAGCGGTCAGTGCACGCTCCGTCTAAACAAAGAAGCTGTTGTTTGTGTGTTGCTGGTGGAAGCAGACAAAATGTAAGCTGTTCTTTAAATAGGCAAGTATTTACCTCCTCCCTAACTGAAAAGTGACTGGGCAAACACACACACACACACACACGCTCATTTGCAGATGGTCATGTTTGTTTATTTGTGTTTTCTTTCTACCTTCAAAGAAAACAGAACAGGAACAGAGTTTGAGGGAAAGTTTAGGATCACTTAGGAAGGCGGGACTCTCCTCACGTGCATTAAACAACGGTGCACGTGTGTTTGTGCACAATCAAAAACACCTCACCTGTTTTTCAGACTGCATGCGAGCCTGCTCCTCCTGCGCCAACACCACCTCCCTCTCAGCTGTGATCTGGACACTTTCCCTCAGCGCCTCCTCCAGCTCCTCAATGCGCTCCTCCTTCAGACGGAGAGAGTCCTACAAAGGAAAAGAACAGAGAGATGATCGTCGATTCATTAACATATATTAAAAGGTCTCCAACACTTGTTTTTAAATTAATCTGCTGTGGTCTTTAGTGGTGTTGGGAGTAATGGCAGAGTAATCTAATCAGTTACTTTTCCCACCGTAGCAACGCTGTAACCGGGCAAGAATAGTGGCGTGTTCCTACGTTTCTATAATGTGGTTGAATGAAGCGTCCAGGTTGTCAGGCTGTCTGGCAGCTACAGTGATGAGCACACGAAACGACTCTTGAGCCGACTGGAGTCGAGGTGAGTGACACCGGCTTTAGCGGCACCCGCCATCCCACCCATCACAAGCGGCAAAAACAAACACAGAGTGTTGAACACATCCAGTGGCGCCCCCAGAAAAGTTTCATAGGGGTCAGAGAAAATTTTGGGGTGGCACACCAAATTGATCTTCGTGGTAAATTTGGGAAAGTTTAGCCTGTAATGATGCAATAAATGCTCATTTATTAATTTTAATTAAAAAAAAACAACAACATAAATATGACTTAATAAAGAACACTGGTCTTCCCTGTGTGTGGACAGTGGGGTGGCCACCCCTTGGGGGCGCCACTGAACACATCATCGTGTTTGCAGATTGGAGAAGAGTTTGAGCACCGAGCAGCACACTCTTGTCTCGCCGATCGCTATAAAGCAGGGCGGAGGTTGGTGCGTACAAAATGCCCGGGACAAAGACAAACAGTCGGCATCATTTCCATAAACTAAACAAAATGCTCCATAAATGTCCTTTTACTTCAATCTTGATCCCACCTGAGATTAAACAAGCATGAATTTCCTTTGCTTTAATGTTCTTTATTTAAACATGTATACCAACTGAATGGTCAATGGCAGCAGAGGGTGCGCCGCCCTGGAGACAGAATCAACAAAACGAGCAGTTTTTTTTATGCCAATGGGAAGTGGGTTAGTGGTCTGTAACGACGCGTGTTTACGCTGCTAAAATAAAGTGGTTGTATGCAATGAGGACCACCTCAGAACACGGACTGAATGACTGGAAGGGATTGTTTTGTAAATGTGTCCTGAGTGCATTTACATAGGTAATTAGAGCCTTTCACTCTTGATCAGCTCACCCACGACACATGCTAATGCCAGATGTGTAGGGTCTGGGTGGAGGGGATTTTTTCTAACTAGTCTGTGGGTTTTCCCTTCCTTTTTATTGTATAATACAGATTTGTGTGTGTGTGTGAGTGAGTGAGTGAGTGAGTGAGTGAGTGAGTGAGTGAGTGAGTGAGTGAGTGAGTGAGTGAGAGAGAGAGAGAGAGAGAGAGAGAGAGAGAGAGAGAGAGAGAGAGATGAAAAATCCTGAAGTTCAGGGGAAAATAAAACTCTACAGTTTTGAACCCAACATTAATTTTTTGATGTTTTTCTTCCCAGGAGTCAGACGTTCTCTAAACTGGTCTAGATCAATAGTTTTCCAGACTGCCTGTGACTTGTTTTGGTTACACACACACACACACACACACACACACACACACACACACACACACACACACACACACACACACACACACACACACACACACACACACACACACACACACACACACACACACACACACACACACTACAGTTTGGACTTTCAGCCTCTGAGGTGTCTGAACTGGGGTTCAAAACAAAATGAGATGGTCCTGTTTGTAGGTCTTGCTTTCATGCAGAAAACGGTGAATATTGAGTTTATTGTAATGGGCGACGGTAGCACAGGAGTCAAATGCTCGGCCCGTAATTGGAAGGTTGCCAGTTCGAACCCTGCTCAGTCTGTCGCTGTCGTTGTGTCCTTGGGCAAGACACTTAACCCACGTTGCCTGCTGGTGGTGGTCGGAGGGACCGGTGGCACCAGTGCTCGGCAGCTCGCCTCTGTCAGTGCGCCCCAGGGCAGCTGTAGCTACAAGGTAGCTCATCCCCACCAGTGTGAGAATGTGTGTGTGAATGGGTGAATGACTGATTGTGTTGTAAAGCGCCTTGGGGGGTTCCAGGACTCTATAAGGCACTGTATCAAATACAGGCCAATTGTTTGTGGAACTTTGTAAAGCAGAAATGTTATTAAATCCTCCATCCATTAATCTGGAAGAGAAAAAGATCTCCATCACCTGAAGCTCAGAAAAGTGACTAAATATCTTTTTGTTGCAGCTAACGTGGTTGGTCGAACTAAATCAGGCTGAATATCTGAAGGGGACAGGGTGAGAGAGGGACGGTGGCTGAGAGAAAACCTTCAGCTGACAATCTAAATCCACAATGAGCCGACGCATCTAGAGCTGCCTCATATCGCCTCAAATTAAATTATTCTCAGTCTGCTACAGACTGCATTGTTGCTTAGGTTCTGCATAATGGCACGCACACACGCACGCACGCACACACACACACACACGCACGCACGCACGCACACACACACGTTACTGCGGTCTCATTTGTCTCAGTGATTCACACGGGCCCGTCTTTAAACCACATAGACTGTAAAAGCTGCTTCTTGAGTGGCTTAAATCTGTTGTAGCTAAACTGTGCATTCACATAAACAAACACACACACACACACACACACACACACACACACACACACACACACACACACACACACACACACACACACACACACACACACAGAGTCTTCATGTGTCTATAATCAGAGAGCCAATGAGGTCGGTATTTACTGGAAAACGAGGGGGGGGGGCGGACAGAAAACAAGATGGATATCTGAAGAAGTTGAAGGTGAAAGTGTGAAGTAGAGGAGAACCTACTATCTGGAGCTAAATGAAGAAAACCACACAGAGTCACCACATACACAGACTCTTATCTGGTGGTCACTAGACGCACCCAGTAGATAATTAGGAAACACTCTCTGACCATAAAGAAGCATTTTCAAACCCAACAGCATTCATTTCATAGTTTCTCCTCCTCCTCCTGTAATCACCTCTCTGGTTTCTCCCTCCATCTTCCCTCTGCTCTCCCTGACAATTATCCACCTCGGCTACCCCTCTCACACACTCTCATGGAGTGTGTCTGACATCGCCCGAGGCTACCGCCGATCACCTGATGACAACATCGTGACGCTATAGTACTCATTACTCAAACGACTTGGAGAGATGGAGAAACTTTTGCTCGTTTCGCTCTTCCAACTCCTCACAGCTCGCCGCCGTCTCTCCCTCCTGTCCTCCGTACCTTAATCTGCTGGGACGTTTCGTTCAGATTGTCCTCTCTCTTCTTGGCCTCCTCCATCAGCTGAGCGTTTCTGCTCTTCTCCAGCTGCTCTTTGTGCTTCAGGTTGGCCACCTTCTTAGTCTGGTCCTTCATTTGTCTGCAGAAAAAAAAAACCATGAACCTCAGACCACTATAACGGAGGTATTTGGAATTATTCTATGCAAAACTCTTTAATACCTCATGTCATATCTGCCATCGAACGCCGACCTATGACTCAGGCATAAAAATGGCCCCTAAACTAGTCTGGTGAATCAGTGTTATGTCTACCGGTAGCATGCGGTCAGCAGTCCTCACGTACGAATCATGCATTCTTTGTATCAGACGATTTATTAGTCTCCTGGAGAAGACACCAAATATGAAACCTTACTTGGCTTTTTGGAGACTCTACTCTGTAAAACTGCAAACGAGCTCATTCAAACATGCAGAATTAAATCCACCTCCCTCATAACAAAGCTGGTAATGCAGCAGATGTGATTCTGTGCAATCCAACTCTGCGCTAAACACCCTTGGGTTGAAAAATCAAGTAAAGGAATTCAGTGAAAAGCCATGAATCAATGAAGAGATGACACTTTTTTATTTCTGCACAGCGGGGAGTATGAGGGGTCTGCTCACAGAGGGATTACTGGGTGTCGGGAAGCAGAGTTTAAATCATCATCCGGAGAGCGGCGGTGTGGGGGTGGGAGCGGGCAGAAAGCTACTCCTTGTGGGAGAAGCGGGCTTTGCGAGAGTTTAATCCGTGTTTGAGCAGTCTGGGAGCCTCCGTGGCTGTCACAGAGCTATCAGCTACCATAGCAGCTTTAGCTGATCAGGACCTCTCATACCTTCCATTCTCTAGACACACGCACAGATGTGGGATAACAAACCAACAGTGAGCCACGTGACTGAATCACGACACGGCTGAAGGATAAGTCAAACATAAGGCACGGCAACACCACACTGCTGACTAACCGGCAAAAGGAGTTACTTTATATAAGTTGTGTGTATTCTGGAGTCAGTCTGTTTGCTGTGTAAATGTTTATACAGATGCCAGATGAATCCATTTTCTTCAGGACGGCTGTAAAAGAAGGAGCCTCTAATGATCATCGGCAAACTAGCAGCAACGCACGACGATCAGTTTTACGACGTCTACTCTTCTCAAAATCTTAATGAACCAACCTCTCTCAGCTGTAATTAGAAGACGTGCTGTTCTAAAGCTAATTAAAGTGCTTTTGTTTGTTTTGTCTTTTACTGCAAGGCTTAAAAAGATACAACCTCCGCTTTCATCTCTGATGTCCGTCTAAGCCATTAACTGCCTCCTAAGGTTACCTAAAGCAACCAAAGTCATCCATCAAGAGGCTTTGATTTCAGCGCTGAAGCCAGAAACGTTGAGAAATGATATTGGCAGAAGAAGGGAACATAAAATCTGTTTGCTAAAAGGTCCGAGGGGCTCATTTCCAAACTGTCCGGACATATCTGGGAGGAGAAACTGAAATGTAGCGGCGCCGCCAACACCGCTCAGCAACACCTGCACATCCAGGGTCCTCAGAATAATCCTCAGCTGTGTGTTCAGGGATATTTCTTTACTTGCAGGTTTTTAAAAGGCATGTGCCTCCCCTGTTTATCAAGTCCAAATTGGGTAATTTTACCCAAGAAGAAGACATGAAGTACGTGTTCAGTCTCATTCAGCGTTTTGTTCTCGTAGGCCTGTGCCGTGAATGTGGGACGCAGTTATTTCAATATTTGGTGTTGGGTTTTGTGCTGAACCTGTGTGTGTAACAGGTCATAAACAGGCAGGAATGTTCCTATTGGAGGATTTCCAGGAAGTTCCAACCATCTGGTTCCATCTCTGAAGTTTCCTAACTTCATGCTACATTTGCTGCATGTATAGATGTAGATTGTAGTTTTAGACTTTAGTGTTTCCTATTGACTCAACTCTCTTTCGTTCTTCACTTTTAGGATCAAAGTAACTGAATTCCACCCTTTTCTCACTAACCAACTAGCCTTTCTTCCACTTTTACACGTTGCATTATAATTATTTGCATGAAGAGTAATCAGTTATTTGCGACGAGTCTCTGGTTCGACTCTCAAGTGAAACATTACTCTTCCTCTTGGCTGCCAACATCTTCAACAGACCGTCGGTCCACTCCGTCTCCTCTCCTGAATCCTTGTAAATCTTTTGTCACGTCTGTCTCTTTTCTTTTCTCTCAGACTCTGACATAAACAAAACCTGAATCAATGCTAACATTTATTTTTCCCCTAAAAGTTAACCATGCGAGCACAAATCCAATTTATGATCTCGACTTTGGTGCTGAACTTAACAGAAAATGCACTGAAAAAAATTATTAAAGGGGCCATGTCTCGGGAAGTCCAGTTTTTGGAGCCTTTTACCATGTTATATTGTCATTTCCTCATGAGAAATAGCCCCAAACCCCGTTTTGGCTGCATTCTTGCATTTTCCTGCCTCAGCTTTAATTTGGTCGATGTAAAGATGTTTCCTGCATCCAGGAGAAAGTATCCCACTTGCATCATCGAGCATTTCTCCTCTGCCTGAATCTGGTCTGGTCTCAGTTCTGAAACCTGGATATTCTGACAAATTACTTCTGCATCGAGGACAAAACGCCGCCATAGAAACCATGCATCCTGTCTGTAAAGACGAACATAACGGCCAGCAGAGGATACGTGTCAGGTGACTGTTTTCTTGGTAGTCCAGTGGTTAGTGTGCCAGGCTGGCATGTGGGTTTACACACCTTCCAGTCGTGGCAGTAACCTTTTTAAGCTAAACTTGCCACTTTATTGTTTTTAACCCTTTCTGGGTAAACTGTTTAAAATATAATGACTACATCTGTCCTTTTGTTGTTTATTTAGCCAGTGTGGGTCCATGTGAGGCGAGCAGAGTAAATCAACTACAATGCTGCTTGGAAATGATCAAATTCAAAGATCTTTAGAGAGACAATATTTAGCAGAAAATAATCAATAAAACTAAAATATAAATAAATGAAATCTGCTTCAGCCGACTAAATAAATAACTACAGACACCACCAGGAGTCGGACCGTGTCAGGGCGTGGCAAAATGAGACGAAAGGCAGGAACTTAAACTGCGGGATTACCAAGGCCAGTACAACAACGGGCTTGCCTTAGACGCTGTTGTAGGCGCGGTTTGTCTGAGCAGGCATGGGCGGAGCTTTGCTCAAACAAACCGTTTCATTCCCAGGTATAAATTCAGGCTGATGAAAATAACTTGTATTAATGATAAATGACATCTTAATAGTGCCAACGGTAATATTTTATCATATATCGTGCCTACCTATGCTCTCAAAGCACGATCTGGCTCCTTTAAAATAAAAATCCTGAAAGAACATACAACGTTTTCTCAGATTAACCTTTTTTGTAGCTGATCTGTGAACTTGATGGCTTCTCAGGTCGATTTCATTTACATCATATTTGGAACGACTGCAGCAAAATGTCAGAAGGTGTCAGAATTACAGGAGAGTTCTACCTGCTGCGCTGTAAACACAAGCTACAAATGTACTGTACCCCCCCCCCCCCCCCACACACACACACACACACTATATAAACATGATAAGTAAACATATTTTGTGCTAGCACACTCCTGTATATGATTTTGTCGTTTTTGTGGTACAAAAAAACAACAAAAACACACGATCTGATTAGAGTGTGATCAACAGCAGCTCTCTAACATCCTCATTAGCATGCAGCTGATATTTTGGGAGCCACATTAAGGTGAAATTAATATTACATTCAGAGTCCTGTATAAATATTTGATCATAAATGCTCATGGGCCTCATGCATGTTTACTGCTCGTAGTTTGCCCAAAATTAACATCAAGAATTTCCTTTCGACCATAAGGATATTCAGTATTTCCTGTGAAAACACAGGAAATACAGCTTCTGAGCTATTAAAAACTATCAAATGTAGAAAAAAAAACTAAATAAACTCAAATACGATAAACAGTTCTCGCTTGCTGTCAGCGTGATGGATTAAACTTACTAAATAATGAGGATGTTTGTGAGAGATTAAGAAAGAAATGCTTATTTTATCATGTGATTGATGATTTTAGAGAATTCTTCAGATGTTAGGAAAAATAAATGAGCCTGTTAAAGAAAACACTTCATCTGAGTCAGTAACTGGAAACGAGTTAAAATAAACTCAGTAAATTGCTTCTTTCTTTAAACAGATAAATTAGATTTGCAGACTATTTTCACACCTCTAAACAAACAGCTGCAAAAAGAAAATGTTTAGACAGATTAGTTACTGCAAACATGCATTAAAGAGCCTGATTTTATCTTGGCAGCTTGTCTACTTGACATGGAGTCAGTCCAGTTTTTATTTAGAAAAAAGAAAGAAAGAAAACGATCTTTTATAAAGCGCCTCTCAAGGTAAAAATGATGAGGCGCTTCACAAAAACAAAAAATTTAAAATATAAAAAATTATTTAAATTATGTTTAAAATGACTAAAAAATGTGATTAAAAATTTTATAAAAAGGAGAGAGAAAATGAATAGGAAAGAGGGAAATCGGTGGATACCGGGAAAGGAGGAATAGGTAGAAAGAGCAGAATAAGGGGAGGGTGATGAAGCTCACACCAAAGCAGCCTGAACAAGTGAGTCTTCAGCTGCTTTTTAAAGGAGACCACTGAGTCCACTGATCTCAGGCTCAGGGGGAGAGAGTTCCAGAGTCTGGGGGCCACAGCAGCAAATGACCTTTCATTTGAGTTTGTTAGCTTAAAATTCCTCTTTAAATGACCCAGTAGTACAGAAAAAAAGATGACTGCAATAAATAAATACATTACATCATTATATACATTATATTCATTAAAATACAACAACTATTTATTTCTTAGGCATTTTCTTTGTTTTGTAAGGATTTTAGAGGAAAAAAATCTGCTTGTGTGTTCATGTGTGTTCGTGTGTGTGTGTGTGTGTGTGTGTGTGTGTGTGTGTGTGTGTGTGTGTGTGTGTGTGTAGAAAAAATATACATGCACAGTGTGTCTGGTTTGATAGCATAAGTGTGTTTGCTTGTTGTCACACATTAGCTGACAAATTCCAGCACCACCTGAATGCTCAGGACCTCAATTTGATCAAACACACACACACACACA